ATATAAAACTCATAAATGAAAAGTAAATTTTAGTATTAAAGTAGCTCAATCACATTAAAGGGTCAATGAATGTATATGTTATAGAATTACAATAAATATGGTTTGAATGAGTATGTGAATTAGAGCAGAGAAACAAAGCAGGGTTGCTAGAGGCCATCCCTGGGAACTTAGCTTCATTTCACAGATACACAGAATCTTCTGTTATAACTTGTTCTAACAGAATTGTGTATTAGTTTTCACAATCACAGTTTATATTTTTCCAATAATTTATGCCTTTCACTAGGCTCCTTAAATGTCTTATACATCTAGTTAAGCAAGTAATGTACCTGAGAGCATGTATAACGTTTTTAACTGTGTTACAGAGCACAGAGGAATCTAATTCCATTTGAGATGGATCCCAACTTTTCTGGTCACTAGTAGATTCTTTACATTCTTTGTTATTTCTTTTAATTAGGAACCGCCCCCCCCATCCTCTTCTCTTTTTTTCAGCTTTAACTGAATGGAGATTAATTCAGCAGATAGTTACAAAAGGTTACATTTTTTTTCTGCAGAATTACACTGTAATTGTCATTCGAAAAAGCATTGTTGGCTACTTTTAGTAAAAGAAAAGGTAGAGAGATTCCATATTAAATCTGATTACAGACAACCAATGCCAGTAGTTTAAGGGGGAAACCAAGCAGAGAGAAGCAATGAGGTGTTTACATTACAGGGGTGGAACTTCTTCAGCTTTTGCTCCAGACTTTCCATGACATCACCAGACTTCCCTATGTGCGTAATGTTTCAAGATCACCAAGGCCCCATTAGGGCTAAGAATACTGTGGATATGAAGTACACTCACCCGTGGGTGGTGGTAGGATGTCTTGAGTTTCCCAGGAATGAATGTAGTCACTGGGAATTTTTTGAACTGGTGACAGCTTGAGTTTAATGGAAATTGGGATGGAGAGGGAGGAGTCTGGAAGCCAACATGGAAATGTTCTCAGGGACTTTTCTGACTGCTTAATTTGGGGGAGGTCTATAAATGCCCCTGAAATATTCTTTATAATTGTTTGCTATTTACCATTCCCATTGCATCTTTTCCCACTGATATTTTGTTATAAAAATTTTTCAAACCTACAGCAAAGTTGAGAGAATTCTGAACACCTACGTTCTCTTGTCTTTTTCTTCTCTTGTGTGTTATTTTTTGCCTGTAATTACATAAAAGGTCTTAAATGGTGGTGTTTACCCATTACTTGTTAAAACTGTTCTCTGTGGTATTTGTGCTTTGACGTTGGTTCTGCACAGCACTTTGAAGCATGGCATTTCCTTAGTTTTTTTCTAAGATTCTTAACACCATAATAAACATATTTTTAGGATTGGTCCATCACAATTTGATGTTGCAGCTCTGGTTGTACTTTTGAGAAGGTTTGGCTATTGTGGACCCCACTTCCTTCATGGGATCCCAAGCTAACCTTTCAGCTTTGAACAGAAAAGCCCTATATTCTAGATCTTCTCTTCCATTTGAATAATTAAAAATGACTGTCTTTCCATAAGTTCACTCAAGTTTCACTCATGAGAGAAAATTGGGCTAATGGTTTGGAAAACCAAAATTTAAAAACAATTAGAAAATTTGTTTTCATTTTAACTCGAATTCTCAACGAAATCATTTTTAAGAAAAATTCAGTAACCAGATTTAAGTCTCTGAGGTTTCCTGCTTGTTTTGATTGCTTTGTAAGACATGAAACTAGGAGGAAAAGAGAAAGATGGAAAGGAAATAGATATTTTTGCCCTTGAATTATTAGAATTCATTCAACTAATGTCCATTTCCTTCTTCCTCAGGTTCTCACCAAAATCGCAGTAATCACACAGTCACTTACATAGACGTGAGGCTGAAATAGATCTCTGGAGATCTCCTGGATGTCTACTTAGGAGAATGGTCTCCAAATAGCAGGTTTCCAACTCTTTTCACATTTCTTTGGCAGAAGGTGTTTATGTCTACCGGGCAGGCAACTAACCACTTAGTAAAAGAAGTGCAGGAAGCCAGGCTGCTCTGGGCATTGTTCTAATGCTCCTGCATCACAATGTGCTGACATAGTCTCTGAAGTAAGAGAAGTGTGCTGGGACAGAGCAGCCCTGACGTAGCCACTGAGATCAAGTGTTGCCAGCATTCCTGGGGATCCCAGACGGCTCAGGAGTGGTAGTTCTGGTTGTGGTGTGAAGTTTACAGAGGCTTCCTTGGAGAGAAAAGTCAACTTAGCAGGAGAATCACCATGGCAAAGATCTCATACTGAGAAAGAAAACACTTTATATTGCTTACCATTCAATTGATAATTTATCCATTTCCTTATATCCTAATTTTCAGAGACTTAAACATATTTAAGTCACTTTGAGCTTTTGTACAGAAAAGCTTCAAGAGAATGTAGCATTCTTAGAGAGCAGAGGCATCTTCCTGCCTCCAGCATCTAGTGTATTCTGGACACATGCTATATAGTAGGCACTCAGTGATTATTTGTTGGATGAATGAATGATATTAGTAAATACATGGCATTCTCTCTCTCTGAATGTCTTCTCTCTCTCTAAGGCTACAGTAGTCCCTCTTTCCCTTTCTGTGGCTTCAGTTACCAGTGGTCTGGTCTGGAAGCAGATGATCCTTCTGAAGATTTGTCAGAAGGTCAATAGTAGCCTAACACTACATCTCAGTGCCTATGTCATTCCCCTGACTTCTTCTCATCATGTAGACATTTTGTCATCTCACATCCATCACAAGAAGGCTGAGTTCAGTTTAATAAGATATTTTGAGAGAGGCCTCATTCACATAACTCTTATTACAGTATATTGCTATAGTTCTATTTTATTATTAGTTGTTAATCTTACTGTGCCTAATTTATAAACTTTATCATAGGTATGTATGTATAGGAAAAAACAGAGTTAATATAGGGTTTGGTACCGCCCATGTTTTTAGGCATCCACTGGGAGTCTTGGAGTGCATCTCACATGGATAAGGAGGGACTACTGTATGTGAGTAGGTTGTTTGTCTCTGCTTTTCTGTATGGTTAGAAGATTCTCCTCTTCCCTATCAGATCCTCCTCTTCAACCTTGTGTTTTAGCCAAGTGCTGCAGATTCCCATCTATCTAGCCACCTCCTTGCCTGCTCATGAGGATAGAGGGACACAGGAGGATACTAACTGACCACTCAGGCCTGGGGGCCCACTACCTTAGTGAATTTACTTCATTTGGGCCACCATTCTAGACTGAAACACTTGCTTTTGACAAGGCCCAGAGAAAACTCAGTTTCTCAGAATAAACATGAACCATGCAAGTTTTTGAGAGGATGATTATATTCCTGTTTCCTCAAGAACTGTAACTTAACTTGGGACCAGCTGTTGGTGTCACAGAGACCATGGCATCCACACTCATAGGATATATAGCAGGCAGAATTGAGGGGTGGTTGTATAACTTCAGTGTTTAAAGGCATCAGGGTCTGGTGAGAGCCCTCCGCATATAACTGGTTCAGTCTGTAGGCTAGGGCAGCCTCTCTGTGAGCAAGCTCAAAGGGTTTCCTGTTATCTTTGCATTAGACACTCCTTTTCCTGTCTTCTATCCTGAATGTCCCCTGTCAGATGGAAAATTCTTGCTCTCATCATATGAGAACCATTGGCTAGATTTCTAGTCATCCAATTCTTCATTCAGCATATTTCTTGCATGATCACCACTTGCCATGTTCCTGTTCTTCCTGCCTCAAGGCCAGGAAACATTTTTGAATAATTCTGATCTCCTCTTTTCCATGTTGATATTAATTCTGACGTACCTTGATGAAACTCTTCAGTATTATCTCACTTCCATTTTTTAAAGGCTATTGGTATATTAAAAAGTGAAGAAATAGCAAAAGAGGGAAATAAAAATTATGATATATTTTAAACATTTACCTTTAAAATATTAATTCTTTTTAAACATGCACAGAATATAAAACCATATGTATAACTTCATTTGGAGATGATGGCACAAGTCCGAATATGAGGTGCTCTGTCAGAGTGAGGTCTGTGACCAATGAGCCTCTGTCCTTGTCCCTCATGAGATGTGCCCACTTGCTCATGCCTTCATGGGCTCCTCTTGGCTGCATGTTCCAAGCTTTCCTGAAGTTTTCCTGTCAGGTTCTGTCTTTGGCTCCCTGGTGAGTGCTATACAAGGTAATTCTGTTGGTCAGTTCAGTTATGAGTACCTACTACTTACAGGGCACCATGCCATGCTGGGGCTACAAAGATGAACAGTCTTTGCCCTCAAGGAACTTACCATCAACTGGGGGAGGGGCCATATAAGCAGACTATTCCAACGAGATGCAGTGATAAGTGGGACCACAGATGAGGGGCACTTAGCCCAGTTTGGAGATTTGGGGAAGGGTTCCTGGAGGAGTTAATGCCCAAGCTAAGTCCTGAAAGATTAGCCATCTTGGGCAAAGGCGTTGAGGCTTAAAACGACATGGTTTGAAGGGGTAACTGCAAATGGTCCAGTGTTACATAAAGCGGGAGGGGAACAGTGGAGTTGGAGGAGGGAGGGGCTAGGTTCCAGATGGCTTTGAACGCCCTAACTGGGCGCTTGGGCCTCATCTGCTGCAGTAGTTTTCTAACAAAGTCTTAGCCTGAGGAGATTTGTGATCTGGATTGATCACTCTAGCAGCAGTGTGAAGGATGGATTTGGGGAGGGCAGTTCTTAGGGCAGAGGAGAGATCAAGGTAGTAGCATTTAGAATAGAAAGGAGAAGGTTATTTAGTAACTATTGGTAGAGTTGACAGAATTTGGTGACTAATTGGATGTGGGGAGTGAGAAGAAAGAATGACTCAGAGGTTTCTGGTTTCGGAAACTGGGTAGACCAGAAAACAAAATGCCTACAGAGGAACAGGTCTGTGTACTCCTTGTAGGAGTGTCTAATGCAAAGAGAATGAGTTCCTTGTTTCCAAGAATCCTTGTCTAGCATGGTGCCTTGTACTCAATGGGTATTTAGCAAATAATAGACTTTTTTCTTAAACCTTTAGTGCCTTCCCAATGTTCTTAGCAGATTTGGCATATATCATAAGGTGTGTATGTATTTAGTATTACACCCAAGAGCCTGCACATTTGTGAGCATGATCTGGCTCCATCTTGGCTTCAGTTCTAACTATCTCAGACTGTACCCCTATTGCTCATCATACTCTGTGTCCTTTCTGACGTTGTATTCTTTAAGCCCTTTCCTCTGTCTGAAATGCTCTTTTCTCAGTTCTTAACATGTGGGGCTTATTTTCATTCTTTAGATCTGAGCTCAGAGGTCACCTGCTTAGAGACCCCTTCTCCATCACTTTACTAGTGATTGTCTCTCAGCTCTAAATCCACCATTGTGTTCTGCATGGTGGTGCTGGGGCTGGAACTCTGCAAACGGTGTCTTTCACCAGCTGGCTTCCTGTTACGTTCAACGATAAGTTGCATTAGACTACAGGGAGCTTGGAAAGCATAGGGAGGGAAGAAGGAACTTGTGCTTCTTCCTGTTCCCTTTGTGTTTCTGTCAGTGTTGCCCTGGAAACAGCAACTGGTTCTAGCCTCCATTTTTTTTTTTTTTCCCCACTCAGAATTAGCAGCTGGGCAGTGCCTTCTCCTTAAAGGGTTGAGTCCTAGCTCCAAAGGGTCTGACCTCTGAACGTCTAGATTCTGATTACTCTTCCTCCTGCCTCCCAGACCCAGCTGTGATAGTTGCTTCCTGTAGTTATTCCTCTGACATCTTAATGTTTCCTTCGTGCTTTTCCAGGTCTCTAACACTTATTTAACTTATTCGTACAGTGAAGTCTCAATAGTCTTTTTTATTAATGGATGCACCCTGACTCAAGTCTTTTTTATTAATGGCTGCACCCTGACACAACAACTTAATATGATCTAGGCCTCCACTCAGTTACTCTCTAATATATCACTGGATTTTCTTCATAGACTTTTCATAATCTATATTTCAAATAATTTTTTTTCTCAAAATCTATGTCCTCCACTTGGATATCAGAGTCTTTGTCTCATTCATCACTGTAACCTCAGTGCCCAGCATGGAGCCTGCATACTGTAGGGACTTAATAAATGCTTGTTAAATAAATTATTGAGTTATTGCAAAAATACTTCATGAGACATATTGGTAGCTGACCATAGAAAATGGCCCAAGTTGAACAATTCTTTAACCTTTTGGCTCTAGGCCAAGTTATTGATGAACATTGTAAAAATGTAATTCTCTGTTATAGAGTGCAGCTTAATACTTCTTATAAGCATGTTAGAATGCAATGCATTATTTAACTTAGATCCATCATCATTGGAATAACAAGACACATAGTTTATTTGCTTTGAATCCTGTATTTACACAAATGTCCACTTTCTATATTTGGGAATAATAAAGACTTACCTTGTTATGTAGAGTTTCATGAAGATCAAGAGTTGGTTGTGGGTTAGATCCACAAAGTTTTGTTAATTAGCAAATAATTTTAAAAATGAAAGCCATCCAAAGAATCCACTTGTAACATACAACATCATTTAATAGCATTTACTTGGCACACTTACTCTGCTTATGTTCTTTTTCTCATTGTGTGATATGGTTTGAAACAACTAAAACACAGAACCAAAAAAGTAGGTTAAAAAGGAACTGCTTGACTTTCACATAGTTAGAAGCAAGAATCTGAAGGTTTCATCTATAGTCTTTTACTTAAGTATCAACTAAGACAAAAAATTGTAATATATCATATATGTGTAATTCTAAAATAACTAGGTCAAATAAATGCAAATAGATTAAATGGCATCAACTTCCATTGTGCCAAGTAGAACCATTTCATTGAATCTTAAATTCCCCTTGTATCTACTTCAGATGTATTCATATTTTTTTATCTCTTTTCTAACTCAGAAGGAAAAAATGTTCCATTTCTTCTCTAGGTTAATTAGGCCCCCAGCATATCCTTAAATCCAGCCCTTCCTTTATCTTCTTTTTCCATCTGGCACCTTACTCTTGCATTTTTAATATGCCCACTACTGTTTTCCTTCTTTCTCAAAACTCACAGATAAAAATCTTTCTTCCACCTTGTTATCAGTTTAAGCTACCATCCTGTATCTATCTTTTCTCATGTACAAGTTCCAAATAATCTATATTCAACTCTATTTTGCAACCTGGCTTTTGCCCTCAACCCACTATTGAAATTGCACTCTTGCAGCTCACAAATGATTGCCTAGTCAGCAAATCATTTTGAGCCTTCATGCTTGACTTTTTTTTTTTTTTTTTTTTGTGGTTGATTACCCTTCCTTCTGGAAACTCTCCTTGGTTTGGGGACATTTAATTACTTGGTTTCTTTTCCACAAACGTCTTTTTCTTTCATTCTATTCATGATCTTTTTTCTCCAACACTTCAAAATAAGGTGCTCCCCAAGGCCCTGTCCTCTTCTCCTATTAATCTTTCCCATCCACCCTTATATTTTAAATATCACTACCATGTGAATGATCCCCAAGGTTATATCCAGCCAGTATCTCTTTTGTGAAATCCTAACCTACACTTTTAAATGCCAACAGGACATATCTACCTTAGTATTCTTCTGGCATCTCAAACACCTATCCAAACCCATCATCTCCTCCACAAAATTCATTTCTTGCTAATGGTTTAACATTTTCTCTGTCAGCTAAGGCCAAAGAGTTTGATTCATCTCTTACTCCAATACCTTCCTTTTCAGAATTTGAAATCAGTCATAAAACTCTTTCCATTCTTTATGTCCAGAGGCACATTCATCTATCATGATCTTTCCGCCACTATCACTTGCACCACTAATGTGAAGGCTGTCATCACCCCCCCAGAGGCAGCACCGGATCACTTCCTACCTGGTGTCTCACTCCAGTTCCCTCTAGGCCAATCCATCCTCCTTGGTGCTGCCAGACCTTTTCCTAAAAAGACAGTTCTGATACTAACACTTCCCTGATCAGGAGTCTCTAAACAGTTTTATATCTCTAGAATAAATCTAGACTTCTCAACCTGGCGTTTAAGAACTTCTTACTTTGGGCCTCAAACATGTAATGTATTTTTTGGTCTTACAAATATATCAGTTTTCTGTTTCTGTAGTTTGATGTTTAAGAGTATGGACTCTAAAGCCAGATTGTTAAGTGTGAATCCTGGTTCCTTCTCTAACTAGCTGTGTGACCATGGACAATTTTCTTAATTTCTCTGTGCCTCAGTTTCCTCATCTGTAATATAAAAATAACAACCCTATTATTGTTGTTGTGAAAATTAAACATATGAAAAGTGCTTAGAAAGTGCCTGGCATAGAGGTGCCTGGGTGGCTCAGTTGGTTAAGTGTCTGACTCTTGATATCCACTCAGGTCATGATCTTGGGGTCATGAGATTAAGCACTGCATTGGGCTCCGTGCTGAGAGTGGAGTCTACTTGGGATTCTCTCTCTCATGAAAAAAAAAAAAAAAGCACCTGGCATATAATAAGCTCTATACTATCTGTTTCACTGAACAAATATTTACTGATGCCTATACATATGTATATCTATCAGGAACTCTTCAAAGGACCTGGGGGTAATATCAATGAACAAAATAAACAAATCTTTGCCATGTGGATCTTACATTCCATAATAAAAATAATTATTTTTAATTGTCCATAATCCTCTGTTTCTGGAATACCCTTCCTCCTGCATCATCATCATCGTCGTTAAAATTCTACTCTTCCTTCAAGAGCCACCAAAATCCCATCTTGCCCCTTGAAATCTTACCTTGTAGGAAGTTCTCACTTGAACTCTTCCAACTCTTTAAATCTGAATTATAGCATTTATCACATTCTATACACTCTACCATGTATTATCAAATATCATGTATATTAAATATTATAGTTATTTGTACATTTTTGTCATTTCCCTTGATGGAATATAATGTCAGCTGTTATCCCTATACATCTTTTAAACAGTAGTATGATGTACCTTGTACCCAAGCACACAGTAGATACTTAATAAATGTTTCTTCAATGAATATAGGTAAAGAACACTTTGCATGATCTTTCATTTAATTTCTATTAATTAACCTTATGTTCTTTAACTGAAAATATAAAAGACTTAAAATATAGATCATTTTATTTTCAACTCTGGAAATATCAAATATCAGTATCAAATTTTTCTTGTTTACTACTTGGCTTTATTCATCACCATCATTTGACACCTTGTTCACTAGTAGCCCAATTTTTGTTGTTTGCTTTGCTAAGTATACCCTACAGCATATTTAATATCCCTTGTTACCACCACTTAGAAAGTGCCTCTAAGTTTTTATTACTGGAGCCATGTGGATAGAGTTTATTTTGTTTGTATATTTTCTATATGTAGCACTGATTTTTCCCATTTCTCACTTCCTTCCTAACATGATAAAAAAAACTTCCAGTTACTCACTAGCAATTTTCTGGTTCATTACTTACTCTTTTTCTCCATTCCAAGGAACTGTAGATGTTTGAAATTTGTTTTTATTGCATCTTTAATAAGAAATTAGTTTTTTCCTCTGTATCGTTTCTTCCCCCTAAATTTGCTTGCCATTCTCTAGCTATGACTGAAAAGACCAGACCAACTGTAGGTTTTCTTGTATTTTCTAATTTGTATTTTTGCAATGCTGTAGTAAAATACCGAGATATAACACATTTTCAATCACCTTTATACCATTTACCCTTGCCACATCATCTTAACTATTCCTTTTGTCCAAGCAGAACCTCATTAAAATGGCTTGACAATCTTCTCTTTTTTAATAACAAGACCAATACAATAGATTTTTAAATAATGATCAAGGATTTTTTTTTTATTCATTAAGTTTCAGTATCATTACAGAAAATGTTATGGTACAGAGTTGTTTAACATTTTTTCTTTGCTCTTGATTTCCACATGAATGCTGGTAACACTAATATCTGTACAAGATCAGTCTTTGATTTTATTTTTTGTTCTGTACAATTTTAAATGTATTGGTTAAAAAGGCTGTCAGCACTTAAGGAAGCATTTTTCCCCCCAGTTTGTTTATTCAAATAAAAGGTATCCAGTTACTGCCGAAGAGTACTGTGCCTCGAGGCTACTGGGGAGGGGCCTCCCGGATGCTCTGCGGGGTAGGGTTCTCCCTGAGGCAGGGCAGGGCCTCCCCACCCAGTCACTCTTCAGTTGGCACTGTGCACATAAACACGAGATACATGATAAAGAACAAGCAAAAGCTCTCTGAAAAACGGTTATGAAGCATACTAAGAAGGGAAATCCAAGTGTTGCCTACACTAGTATAAATAAGCAGACAGCCTTGATTAAGAGCATAATTAGTTGTATTTTAAAGATGAGAAAAACACAAGTTCTGCAGGCACCTACTGCTGTCTACTAAAAGCTATCGCTATCAGACCTAGCATTGAACACACAAAGCAATTTGCAAGAAAGGAAAAATTTGCTTTGATATAATCAGAATAGAGTTGTCTGTTAAGATTTATCTTTAGGTGTTTTTTTCTTTAAAAGGTGTATTTAAATTCTTTTGAAATATAGTTCAAGATGTTGACTATACAGATCAACTTTTATCCAGATCAGAAAAACTAGCTGTGCCGTTGCATATTACAGGATACAGTCAATGATATGTGGACATGCATCAAAGCTTTCTCGCTCTGGTGACCATCATAGCCGTCCAATGACCATGACGTCCACCACCTCGCCCTTGTGGAGCTCCACATACTGCTCTGTCTTTGGAGGTAGCATCAGCAACCCGTTCGCACTGCGCATGCTCATCAGACGGCTGCTCATCTGATTACCTAGAAAGAAATATCTCACTGTAGCAGCAACATCACAGTGCATACATTTGGAGCCCTTACAGTTCTTTTCAAAGTAAACACCAACGAACAGAAACACAGGTCTTCGAGAGGAAGAGAGAAGACGAGGCTTCCCTGTCCCTTTTCCAGGTAGCCTTGCTACTGTATCCTACTCCTTTCTCACTAAACTTTGAAAATAAACATGAGAAATTATTGCTCCAAAGAATAAAACAGGATTTTATAGCATTATGCAAAATGCCACAGAATTTCTCAGTTCAGGCGAAAATGTTATGTTTGTCTGAAAAGAGAGGTTTTTAAAACTTATTTTTTAAAAGACAATTACCATTTCTTTAGTGTTTACTAAGTGCCGGTCAGCACAGCGGGTAATTTCCTTAACTACCTTATTTAATTTGTACAAGATTCAAAAGAGGTTAGGTAACTTGCCTATGGTCCTACTAATTTGAATGCAGGTCCGGAGGAAACACTGCCTATGTATTCAGTCACTATGTTAACTGATGTTTGTACTTGATAGGACCTTGTTTAAAGGGTGATACAGCTTTTCTGGAGACACACCAAAAGTTAGGTAAATATGACTAGAATACTTGGGGATAAAAGTTTAAAGTCTAGAGAAGGTAACTATAGAACTCTTGAGTTATCAATATTGATTTCTCAGTCCTTAAACTTTACCAATATCTAAGGTATAGTAGAGGCTACAGAGAATCACATTATAATTGAGCTTGAATCTCACATTACAGGGTAGCATGGTCATAGTACCTTCTACAACCAAAGTTTTATACTCAGGACTTAGAGGTTGAACATATAGATAAAAATCTTCTGTAATTCTAGAACTGTATTTCAAAAGTTTATCTAGAAAATATGGTTCCATGGAATAAGTAAACCTTTATTAAAAAATTTGTTTTTACTCTTGTTTTCTTCTTATGCTGTACTGTTTGGAAATAATTTATCTCATCTAATCTTTCAAAAAGGACAATGAAGAACAATTACAAAATTAGGTGTACCCAAGGAAGGAGGTTATACATAAGTTTTGTGTTTTAACAGGATATATGCATAGAAATACCCACTGGTATGAATGACTAACCTGTACTCTGTGCCCAAGGCAGTGGTTCTTGGTGATGCCAAGTCAATATACACCGATGGTATTCTGGGCGAGGATCCAGTTTTACATCACATGATAACTATAGAATGCAGAGTAAATGAAAACAAACTCGATCACCTGATCATCTCTTAAAACTACAGGGTGGTGGAAGTTGTGCAAGGAATAAAGTGGACATGAAAAATGTCCTGGCATTCTGCTGTTTCCACCACTGCCACCTTAAGTCCCTAATATAGGAAGTCCAGAGGTTGGGTTGCTCTGGTGAAAAAGAAAAGGAGGCTAAGAAGTTGGTATTCATAGTGGGGAAAAGGGCAGATGAAAAAGATAAGATTTATCTTTGAAGTCTAATTTTATGGGTTGATAGTACAGATACCTCTGACCTATGAATTGAGAAATCAAAGCACATTTTTTTAAACACTGAAAATAAAAGAAATAGAACTAAACAAACAAATAAGCTCAATATCCATTTATATGTCTGTCAATCTGTCTGTCCATCCAACCAATAAATATTTACTGAGACACTCTTTAGCTACCCATTCATATACCTACCTTTAACATAAAAGGGTTAGTTACTTTCTCTTAAATATCCCCCTAGTGTCCCAATATAGTCCTAAAAATATACCATTTTTGTTTAGCACATCACTGGTATTAAAAGAATTCCTCTGAATGAGTCTTTGCTGGGCATCTTTCATATCTTTCCAATAAGGATAAAATCCTTTCTAACATAGCAACTGCAGTTTACACACAAAATATGGAATGACTAATCAACCTTTAACCTAGAGCCATTAAAATAAATCTATTTCATTAAATTCATCCTGAAATCCAATAAATTAAAGTGATAATGTGTTGGTAGCAGGTGCCTAGGAGGTATTCCTTGAACAAGTTTATAGAGCATATAATTATGGACTATAGCCCATCAAAGATTAGTTCAATGTTGGTGAATATAAAACTTGTTCATTTGCCATTAGCAAAATAATCATTTGTTACTCTACCTTAAAATGGTCCAGAAACCCTTTATCCAACTAAAACAGGTATTGCTTAGACCAATGATAAAATTATAACTTGAAGATCCCAGTAATTTTGATGTAGTTAAGTCTATCTCCAATCCATTCTGGTTATGCTGTTTTTAAACATTCTAATTATTCACTCTGACAATTACTGCTTTTCCTCTGGAGTCCCGAATAAAATTCAATTCTAAGGTGTTTTTCTTTTTTTTCTTGTTTAAAAAAGATTTTATTTATTTGAAAGAGAGAGCACAAGCAGGGGGAGAAGCAGGCTTCCTGCTGAGCAGGGAGCCCGATGCGGGACTCAATCCCAGGACCCTGGATCATGACCTGAGCTGAAGGCAGACGCTTAAGGACTGAGCGACCCAGGCACCCCCTATGGTGTTTTTCCTTGATTAAATCACATTCAACTCTATCACTTGATATTGCTTATGTTTATACTCTATTTCATATCTACTGAGGGGTAACTTGCCATTATTTCTAAATTATTGTGCGCTTACTTGACGGCAAAGATGTCTATCAGTCCGTCACTCTGTGTATGGGTGTTCTCCAGCATGAAACTACAACAGCCATTCCCATGGCTGTGTTATTTGCTAAGTGTTTACGCAGATATTTCTGTCGGCAAAGGCACAGATTGGCTGTTGGTAGTTCGGTGGAACAAATATCAGGATGGGATGATATCTGACATCCAGGTTCGACTCCCACTTGTACTGCTAATGGGTGTCTGTATTAGCAAGTTATTTTGCTTTCCTATACCTGTTTGTTCATCTAAAAAATGGGGTTGTTTGTTTTAAAAGAAGGTATTTATTTATGGTAATTAAGAAACAAGAATCAACTGCAGCAAGAGATGAAACTGACTAGATTTTTATGGTATTTTACTAAAATGCAGAATACTTTATTAATCAATATATTTAGTTGTACTGACATTATAATTCTGGCACTTATATAATTATATCACTTAGCTTAAGAAATCACTTACTATGAGTGTCAGTGCTTACAAGAATATGTACCATGAGTAAACACAGACTTTTTTTTTGGTGAAAAAATTGATGTTTCACTTCAATGATTTCTTCTATTCGTTCAAAACTGGAGTGGGCTGTGGACTCAGACTATTTCCTCTGTTTCCTTTTGAATATTTTTCTGACACTCAGTAGTCACTCAAGAGATAAAACCATATTATGTGGTATAATATTACATGGTATGTTCTACATGTAAATGTTTAAGGGAGAAAATCAGAAAAAAAAAGTCAACAGAATGAGATGATAAGCCACAAAATGGGAGAAAATATTTGTAAAAGACATCTAATGGAGGCCTGTTATCCAAAATATACAAAGAATTCTTAAAACTCAATAACAAACAACCTGATTAAAAAATGGGCAAGGGGCACCCGGGTGGCTCAGTCGGTTAAGCAATCAACTCTCGATTTCAGCTCAGGTCATGATCTCAGGGTTGTGAGACTGAGCCCTGCATTGGGCTCTGCACTCAGCAGGGAGTCTGCCTGAGATTCTCTCTTCTCCCTCTCCCCTCCCTCCGCCCCTGTGTGCTCTCTCTAATAAATAAATAAATCTTTAAAAAAAAATGGGTGAAAGACCTCAACAGATAACTCATTAAGGAAGATATAGAGATGGCAAGTAAGCATATTAAAAGATATTCAACATCATATGTCATTAGGGAATTGCAAACTAAAACAATGATATATCATTACCCACCTACCAAAGGCTAAAATGCAAAACTCTGCCCACACCAAATCCTGATGTGGAGGAATTCCTGGTGGGAATGCAAAATCGTACAGCCACTTTGGAAGACTGTTTGGTAGTTTCTTACCAAATTAAACATACCCTTACCATACAATTTAGCAACTGTGCTCCTTGCTATTTACCCAACTAATTCGAAAATTTATGTCCACACAAAAACCTGCACATGGGTTTGTAGCAGCTTTATCCATAATTGTCAAAACCTGGAAGTAATCAAGGTATCCCTCCATAGGTGGATGGATAAATAAATGGTGGTATACCCAGACAATGAATATTATTTAGCACTAGAAAAAATGAGCTATGAATCCATTAAAAGATATGGAAGAAACTTAAATGCATATTGCTAAGGGAAAGGAGTCAATCTGAAAAGGCTACATAATTCTGGGAAAGATAAAACTATGGAGATAGTAAAAAGATCCAGGGTCAGCATGGAGGGAGGGATGAATAGGCAGGGCACAGACAGGTTTTAGGGCAGTGAAACTACTCTGTATGACAAGACAATGGTACATACACATAATTATACATGTGTCAAGACCCTCAGAATATACAACACCAAAAGGGAACCCTTGGTAACCTTGAGTGGTGATAATGTATCAGTGTAGGCTCATCAGTTGTAACTAATGTACCACTTTGGTGCAGATGTCAATAGTGGGAGAAGTTGTGCATGTGTGAGGACAGGGGGTATATGGGAACTCTCTGTACTTTCCACTTAATTTTGCAGTGAACCTAAATCTAAAAAATAAAATTTATTAACTAAAAAAAAAAAGGAGAATATTTTGTTCTTCCTTTTTGTCCTGCCCATCTTATAGAGAAGTGATCTTAAAGAATTCTCAGAGTAAATAATTAATTGCAAATACAGGGCAATAATGTCATCCCTGAGCTGTTAATATGGTATTAAAAGGGCACAAAGAAGCTAAGTAATCAACCGTTCTTAGGGACATTGAGAAAGGCTTCAAGGGGATGCGATATCTGAGTCTTATGACTAGGAATCTTGAAAGCTGAGAAAGGAAATGGTGGTGGTTGGGGAAGAACCTTCTAGAAAAGGGAATAATCACAGGCACAGGCAGGAGATCTCATATCCATTCTGGAAGCAGTAATACATTTAATATGGTGAGAGTGCAGGATGAGATGCAGATGAAGGTGGAAAGGAAAAAAAGGCCTTGGGATGAAGGGCCTCCTTTGTTCATGTGAGAAGTTTGGATTTAATCCTGGGGTCATGGGAAGATGGAAGCATTTTAGCTGGAGATGCTTACATGATTAGAGTTAGAATAGGGGTTTAGGAGGAGGCAAGATTAGAAGAAGGGAAATCGTTAAACAAGTCAAGGGTTATAATCTAGTAAATGTTGGAGCCATCATTCAAAGCCAGGCTTATTTGGTTACATAAGTCAGGGGATATGGATGGTGGAGGCAGCTTTAGGAGAATGGTGAAGATTTGGAAGGCTGTAGTAACTATTGGAAGAAGTTGATCCACAGGATATAAAGGGATCACAAGGGGAATCTGGGTCCCTGCTGAGGTATGTAAATTGGAAGTGATAACGTGAACAGCTGTAGACTCTTCTCTAGTTGTGGCCTAGAAATAAAAGTGAAGGATAAAGAAGGGAGGATTGATCCAAGTTTGTGGATTTTTAGAGTGGGCTATTGTGGAAGGAAGGGGCAAAACAAAGTTGACATGCTTGACATGCTACACCATAGGATTTAGGTTGGATGAGGGAAGTGACAAAGCCTGTGGGGCTTAAGGACTGATGGAAAGGGGTAGAGGTAAAAGGAGTGTTTATACCTTTTCATATCTATGGAGAGCTAACTTGCCCTTGTCCCTAAATTGTATGCCAGAGGTGGTGATTTTGAGATCGAGTACTTCAGGATATTGAAAAGGGATGTATGTGTGAGTTGCTGAAGTAGAAATAAAGGTATTTAGAATTGTGGAAATAAAGCAACTGATGGTAAGAGGTGAGGTAGAGAGGTAGACTATGATTCACTTGCCAAAGATCTGAATGTCTTTGGAAGGTTTGATGGCAGTAATGAGGAAAAAGTGAAAGCTCCAGAAGATTCAGGGGAATAGGTTGGGACTCAAGACTGCATAGATCGGAGAAGAGAGTTTGTGAGAAAACAGATAACCCATGGGGATTCTACTGGGTGAGGGCCCAAAATAACATGCTCAAGGCCTTGGTTGGTCATGGAGGCCTGGACTTTGCTCCAGTCTGGTCAAAGCTTCCAAAGAGTGGTTATGGCAGCTTTACACTAACTTTTTTGATAAGTGCTATGAAGTTATGAGGCACTGATTTCATTAGTCTTCCAGAGAAATCCTTGAGTTTATTTGCCCTGTAAATCATGTGTCTAGAATTTATCATGTAACTTTAAAATCTCTGCACATGGATCAGTTTCAAATTAACTTTTCTAAAATGCTTATAACCTAGTTATATTTTTCATTTCCTAATAAGTTAAAACTGATTTACATTTCTTATAGATCATGGACAGTTCTATAATTTTCAATATCTGTTTTTTAATCCACAGGCCATAATATTCTCATATAACGGGCATCCAATAATATCTTTTTTTTCCACCACCGTATCTTTTGATGATCAATGACTGATCTTGTCACAATAAACATTTCTCTCTACAGTTGCAAATATCTTTTCTCTCTACAGTTGCAATTTTCTTTTTTAAAAAAGATTTTATTTATTTATTTGACAGAGAAAGAGAGAGAGAGAGCACAAGCAGGGGGAGCAGGAGAGGGAGAAGCAGGCTCCCCACTGAGCAGGGAGCCTGATGCAGGGCTTGATCCCAGGACTCTGGGATCATGACCTGAGCCAAAGGCAGACGCTTAACTGACTGAGCCACCCAGACGCCTTAGCAATTTTCGAACAAAATAAGCATTTTGTTAAAATGCTTTGTATTTTACTGTTTATGACATCAGACAGAAAGCATTCACCATGTTCTTATACCATGAGGTCAGTAATCTGAAGAGAAGAGGTAAGATGGACAAATTAGAGTAGTCCAGTAGAGTTCAACATGCCCACACTCTCCAGGACATGCTGACCTGATCCCATGGGAGATGAAAATATTTTCCCTTTGCCTTCTCTTAATCACTACCTGAGGTGGGCTATTAATACTAATAGGAGTTATCTTAGGTATGTTTCTAGAGAAAAAAGTTGACAACAAGGGGCAGTAGAGGGTACTTTGGTGGGATATTAAGGAAACACAAAAGGATATCCTTTTGTAGAAACATTAGGTTAATAATTCAGTGAATTAAGATGATGTCTCTGATTGTCTACTGAAAACCAGAAGTATTTCAACTTCAACCATAACTGACCAAGGACATAGGGCAAGTGTTTATTCTAAATTGATGTTTGTCAGAACGCATCGATATAAAAGGATGACATTTTTTTGTGTGTGCTGACCTTTTAAAAGAACGCAGCATTGCCCTAACCATAGGCCAGCTGCATCAAATCCAGCACTGTGAGTTACTGACACCAGCATTTAACAACCATCTCACTTACCGAAAGCAGTAAGGATTGGGAGAGGCTGTGATTACGGCACCATTTTGGAGAACAGTAATCAGTGGTGTCTGTAAGCTGCGTATTGGCTGGTCAGAAAATTGAGAGAATAGGCTTTCCCTTGTTTCAAGAAAGTGAATAAAGTTATGTTCTAAAAGTGGCAGTTATGTCAGGAAAGGTGTGGGGAGGACTTTAAGAGTTAAAAACAAAAGAAGTAAACAGCCAAACACCCTGATGACCCATTCTGACAGTCCCTGTGACACTGCTCTGTGGGAGAAAGGAGTCTGACTGATTCTTAGACCAACTGTCAATTTCATGAGTTGACAGGAATGAGCAGCAGTGTGAGCAATGTACCAAGGATACTGCTCTGTAATTACTGTTGTCAGTAAGGATAGCTCCCACAATGTCAGTTTTAAAGAAAAGATGGTGAATGTTAAAATGAGAAATAAACAAAAAGATTCATAAGAACTCTGCAAAGTCAAAGAGAAGTCCTCTTTTTCTCTCTTATAACAATGTGGATTTTTCTTATTTCCTAAATTTAGCAAATATGAAAATAGTGAGCAAATTCATATTACTGGTTTAGATGTCTAAGCTTTATAACTCCGACCTTCTGATTTGATCAGAATACTTTTTGTTCATTGATAGCTTTTTTCTTCTTTTTCCATTAAATTTAAAATAAGACCACTGCTATGATTATTGAAACAAAAACCCAAAATAATTTGTTTTCAGAAATATCTAGTCAAACTTTTACTAAACTTCTAAGAAAAGGAGGGTATCTCTCCATATACTAGTCTACAAAATCTCAGTATTTAAAAGGTCAATGTTAAGAATATCTGAAGCCTAGATTTTCTTAATGTTTTATCCTATATATTCTCACAGTAATATTTTATTAATATTTCTTCTTCCTCTTCTATGCCTTGTGTTCTTCCTGTCAAGTAATCATAGCATTCTGTCATCTGAATTTATTTCTAAGCTCTTGAAATGTAACAGTTTAGGGATTTGAAAAAAATGGATATATTCATGCAAAAGATTAAATTGGGACTCCTTTTTTTACACAATACACAAAAATCAACTCAAAATGGATTAAGGACTTCTATGTAAAACCTGAAACAGTAAAACTAGAAGAAAATATACAGGAAAAGCTTTTTGATATTGGTCTTGGCAATGATTTCTAAGATTTGACACCAAAAGCACAAGCAACAAAATAAAAAATAGACAAGTGGAACTACATCAAACTAAAAAGCTTCTGCACAGCAATGGAAACAACAGTGTGAAAAGGGAACCAAGGGAATGGGAGAAAATATTTCAAACTATCTATCTGATAAGGGGTCTATATCCAAAATATATGAGTCTCTTACAATGCAATAGCAAAAAGACAAATAACCTGATTTAAAAATGGGCAAAGGAGTTGAATAGACATTTCTCTAAAGAAGATATACAAATGGTCACTAGGTATATGAAAGAGCGCTCAACATCACTAATCTCAGGGAAATGCAGATCAAAACCACAATGAGATACCATCTCACAACTGTTAGGATAGCTATTATTAAAAAAACACACAAAAGATAAGTATTGCAAGGATGTAGAGAAACTGAAATACTTATATAATGTTGGTAGGAATGTAGAATGGTTCAGCCACTACTGCTTGGGGGAAACAGAATGAGGTTTCCCCTCAAATTAAAAAGAGAACATATAATAGAGCAATTCTATTTCTGGGTATATATTTTAAAGAACTGAAATCAGGATTTCAAAGAGATATCTATGCCCCCATGTAGCATTATTCACGATAGCCAAGATACGTAAACAACTCAAATGTTCATTGATAGATGAATGGAGAAGGAGAATGTGCTATATTCATACAATGAAATATTATTCAGCTTTAAAAGAAAAATATCCTACCATTTGTGGCAACATGGATAAACCTAGAGTATATTATGCTAAGTGAAATAAACCAGTCACAGAAGGATAAATACTGCATGATTCCAATTTTATGAGGTATCTAAAATAGTCAGTCATAGAAGCATATAAGAGAATGGTGATTGTCAGAGGCTGAGGGGGGGCATTGGGGAGTTGTTGCTCAATGGGTATAAATTTTCTCTTCTGCAAGGTGAATGAGTTCTAGAGATCCTTTGTACAACATAGGACCTATAGTAGACACCATGGTATTCTGCCCTTAAAATATGTTAAGAGGATAGTTCTCATGTTAAGTGTTCATACCACAAAACAAACACATAAAAAACCAAACAAAACCACAAAATAACACAGGAAAATTTATGGAGGCATTGGATATGTTTACTACTTTGACTGTGGTGATGATATGGGCATATGCATATGTCCAATTTCATCAAAATGTTCACATTAAATAGGTGCAATTTTTTTGTATATCATGTGTATCTCAATCAAGCTTTGAAAAAAAGCAATGGCTTGATAGTGTAGGTTATATTGCCAAGAAAATTGTTCATTAGTTATACAGAAAGTGTGTTACATAATCAGCTAAGTAGCAGTAGTAAATCAAATTGAAGTTAGTGTTGGTGGAGAAGGGGACTCTAATTTCTAGGTGACTTTTCCTATAAGCATAATTCCTCAGCCTTAGTTCTCCTTTTCCACACAATGTGCTCACCCTTTCCTCCTGATTCACTTGTTTTCTAGTCCATTGATTGTCTTTTTCTGGACTATTTAAAATTTATGAGTAAGGTCCCAGAAAAAGTGAGCAGACAGCAGTGCTGTCCTGTGTGAGCTTGCACAGGGGAAAGGGAATTCTTGTCCTTCCTTCTGTATAGGTTTAGTTTTAGTGTAGTGCTAGCCTCATTCTATCTACCATTTTATCATTACATATCCACTTTCATATGGATTCTGGCTGGAGAAAATGATTACTTTAGAAGTAGTGGAATAATGTGGGCTGGGAGTAAAAGGGACGCTTTTCCCCTCCATTTTCTATCATGAAGGGGAGAACATAACTACATTTTCCCTCAAAACGATATAAAATTTTAGATGTTTGTTTTGGGCAATTGGGAAATCATATCCTTAATTGTTATTAGGCTTCAGTTTTGGTTCCTGGTCATTTAGATACCATTACCCTGGCTTTGATGATGGTTGGCCGAGGATCCAAGATGCCCTGCATCTTTCTCAGTGCAGGCACAACAAAGAGATTGCAGGTGACCACGGCTGACACAGGATTCCCTGAAAGTCAACCAAACAGTTATTTATAGTATACATATAAAAATTTGCCAAATAATTCTGACTGTCTATACCTTCATTCATCATAAAGAGTGAGGAGACTAACCACTAATCTTCCTCTTCTAAATCCCAAAGGACTCCAGAATAGAGCTACAATCAACCAAAGGCCACAGAGGGTGTAAACATTAGGTCTACCAGTGAAATGCAGAAACTTCTGATTCCCAGAAGCTGTTTACACCATTTATTTCCACTTTCCTGAGAACTATACATTGAAAGCCATTACCAATCTTGATAAATTTTAAAGCAGATTCTACTTGCTATTTTTAAGATGTTTTAAAATTGCCATAGTAATACATGCTCAGGACAAAAACATTTAGAAAATAGGTTAAGCATAAAGAAATGTATCCATAATCTCCTTCATCCAGAAATTTCTTTATATTAAAAAAAACCCTAAATGATTTACGATGCAAAGGACTTGAAGATGAATACTGTTATGGACTGAATTGTGTCCCCTACAAATTCATATGTTGAAGTGTAGCACCCAATATAAACTGTAGATACTAGGGCCTTTAAAGGGGTAATCAAAGTTAAATGAGGTCATAAGGGTGAGGTCCCAATCCAATGAGACTGGTGTCTGTGTAAAAAGAGGGAGAAACACCAGGAGCGCATGTACATAGAAGAAAAGCTATGTGAGGACACAGTGAGAAGGTGGCCATATTCAAGCCAGGAAGAAAGACTCAACAGAAACCAGCTCTGCTGGCATCTTGGTCTTAGACTTTCAGTCTCCAGAACTGTGAAAAAATAAATTTCTGTTGTTTAAGCCATTTGGTCTGTGATATTCTGTTATGGCAGTCTTAGCAGACTAATAGAAATACCAAGTTCTTTTAAAGTTATAAGAAAAATTTGGGGTGCCTGGGTGGTGCAATCGGTTAAGCGTCTGACTCTTTGTTTTGGCTCAGGTTGTGATCTCAGGGTTGTGGGATTGAGCCCCACATCTGGCTGTGTGCTCAGTGTGGAGTCTGCTTGAGACTCTCTCTCCCTCTCCCTCTGCCCCTCCCTGGCCCCTGCTCTTTCTCTCTCTCAAATAAATAAATAAATCTTAAAAAGTTATAAGAAAAATTTGAGGAATTCAGTTGTATCTTTCCAAGAAGAAAGTGTCATGTGGGCTGGGACTGTCATGCACTTTGAAGGAAGGAAAGGTAGGCTATGAAAAAAATGACTGTGCTGAGAATCACAGATTTAGTTTCTTGTGTGGTATTGTTAACTAAACAAACTGAGCAACGCTTTTTTGTTCAGGGTGAGTTCCAAATCTTTCTGAATCTAGTTTTACTCTTCTACAAAATGAAAGGTTTAGACTATATGATTCTCAATATCCCTCCTGGGTCTAAAATTCAAATTTTATTAATACTAATACTTTTATACAGTGCTGTTGAACATGTATGTATACACTGGGGGTGGGAGACGGACTAGTAGATTTTTAGATTCCCTTGGCCTGGCTATGTGCTGTTAATTGCATTATCAAAGTAAAAGGCAATGGTTAGTTTAGCCTATTATTAGCTAAAACCATACCTTTAATTTTCTTCTACCTACAAAAGTAGTTAAGAATAGATTTTTTTTTAAGTTGTAAAAAGTGATGAGTAATAATGATTTCAATAGAAAAACAAGTTCAACAGCACAGCAGACTCTTAATGAAAATTAATTGCTTTTCTCTTGTCTCAAAATACATAGATGAAAATTTTTCTGGAAAAGCAAAAAACAAAACAAAAAAAGCTATTGTTTAGCAATGATTACCGGCATTCCTATAATGCTATTGCCTTATAAAATTATTCTATTAAAAATGAATTGCAAGCAATTGCAAATAGTAGTTATTTTGTGCTGGGGGAAGGGATTATGGATGATATTTCTTAATGTTTACCTGTATTTTCTAATGTTTTTATAGTGAATATGTTATTATAGTAATTTTAAAAGTTAAAAAAATTGCAAGTAGATACATAAATCTTTTAAACTGCTTTAAAAGTTATCAAGATTAATAATGGCTTTAAATGTGTACCCTTCAGGAAAGCAGAAATATAATGATGAATTTTAAAATCCTTTTAAAAGGAACCACTTTACTGGTTCCACAATCTGAACATCTGGGTTGTTGCTGCCCTCTTTTGGTTCATTCAGGCTGGGCAGAGAAAATTGCAAGTGAAAGTAGCAATTTGAAAATAGGTTATTTAATTATCACTTTTTGGCAGATCAAGTTTAAAAGTAATGGCAAAATAGGCTCCCACTGTAACATTCTTTGTCTGTAGGTCAAGTCATATCTTCTGAAGACAAAGTAAACAGTCTTTTGTAGGCAAAATGAAGCCAGGAAGAGGATCACATTTTTTTTTCAGAGTATCTAACTATACATATGTTAAAGGCCCTAATAAAGGCCCCAAGGAGTTCCATAGACACATTTTGAGGACTACTTTACTTACCTGTCTTCTCTCTTAAAATTTCCTATAGGATAGAAATCTAATCTCTTTTATGCTTATACATAGGAGCTTTAAAAATGCTTTCAACATTCAAAACTCAAAAAAATGCTTTTCAAAATTTTCTGCTACCTTCGTTTCTTTATACTCTATTTTGAGATTTAGTTAATATAAAAAGCAGATAAATATCCCAAAGCCACAAGATTTGTGCTCCTGAAAGGAATAAGCAGGTTACTTTCTGAAGGAATCTGTGCCAAGAAATAGAGAATGGGACACTGCTACAGATCAGAGCATAATTTCAAAAGCTGAAAAAATAACAAGTAGACATACAAAACTCCTAAACTGCTTTAGAATTTATCAAGATTGGTAATGACTTTAAAAGCATGCCTTTAACTGCAAGGCAAACATCAATAAAAATTGAAACTGAAAGTCTTTATAAGTGGAACTACTTTGCTTTTTCTACAATTTGAACATAAGAGTTTCTGCTCACATGGGAGCAAGCATGAGGACAGTGATGTGGTCAGACTGATGATGGCTGGGGTTTGGCTGAGAAGCACCAGCACTAGTAGTCCCTCCTTCTGTATTGCCCCCCATCTCCTGGCCCCAGTCCAAATCTGGCAAGGACCAAAGGCAGCTTTGTATTTTTTTGTTATAGCATTTACTTGCATGGTTGATTCAAGGCCCTTTCGAACTTTGAACACAATACTGGTACTATGGGAGGTGATTAGACTACTACCTTTGACCGATTTTCTATAAGGAAAAGCAGGTACCCCAGAAAGATTTAGTGACAGCTAACATTTGATTATCATCTTAGGGTTTGGAATATGCTTTGAAAGATACTATCTAATTTGACCTTTACACCAATTGTACAAAGTAGATTTTAGGTCCATTTTACAGATGAAGAAATAGCTTTGAAGAGGTTAAGTGATTTGTCCAAGGTCATGCTTTATGAGCCCAGGTCTTTCAGATTCCAAATCAAGTGCTCTATTAGGGATTCAAAAAGATTTTGATCATTTTTCCAGAAAAAGCAAAAGAAACTATTTCAATTATTCTTACCTGGTAGTGCAAAGATTATTTTTCTTACACCATCAATATCCAAAGTCGCAAATGTTGTTGGCAGGCTAGAGAATAAAAGACGTTGTTAGTGACTGCTAAGTAATATGACAAGTAAATTAAGTACTCCAGCTTTCTCGCTATGTGGCTCTTCATATAGAATATTTATCCTATAAAAATACTTTTTTTTTCTGTTGACTCTTCCTTAAACCTTTATACCATGAAGTTTCAAGAGCATTTAAATTAATATGTTTTTGGTATCTTCCGTTTTCAAGTAACCAAACTTCTTGGTTTTCTGCAGCTTGCTTTTTCCCCCCTCCTACCTGCTAGTGCCAGAGAAATGTAACTCAAATCCTGGAGTTTCTCCACCCCTCTAGTTAATAATGTCCATATTATTTTTGCTGGAGATTTACAACAATCATTCTTATTATCAGAAGACTAGCTGGTAATACATGTCTATCAGATAAATGCCTGCTGTTCAACCTGAGTAGTCTTCAACCCTTTAAAGCTATACTCAGCAATAAACATAAAAATGGCCTCCTATAAGGGAATTTTTTGAAATGTCAAAATAAAATACCATGACTAGAACAAAATTAAAGCAACAGTAATTTAAAATATTTTCCAATTATACTTCCTCAAGATTCTGACATGAATCTTATCTAACATGAATCCTTATAATGGAGGGGGTGTGGGAAGGGATGAGTGTGAGTGGCACAGAGTAGGTGGGCAGTCAAGAATAGTGATTTTTTTTCTATTGACTATGTTTTATATGAACTTCCAGCTAAAAATTTCATTATATTAATGAAACTTGAGCATTACAGAATCCCTAGGGAACGATAAAATTTCCATGTAGTTGAAAAATTATCTTTTTAAGTGCCTAAATTGTTTTTATTTTATTATTTTTGCAGCTTGTCTTTCAAAAATGGACCACTCATTACCTTTTGCAATAATACGATGAACATTAACTCTTTTTTTGATGACTTAAAACCATCATTAAGTTTTTTGGTGTTTTTTTTTTTTTTTTTTTTTTTAGAGAGAAAATGGGTGGGGGGTGGGCAAAGGGAGAGGGAGAGAGAGAATCTTAAGCAGACTCCACATCCAGCATGTAAGCCTGAGGTGGGGCGCAATTTCACAACCCCAAGATCATGGCCTGGACCAAAATCAAGAGTCAGAGGCTTACCTGACTGAACCTCCCAGGAACCCCCATCATTATTAACTTATTCTACTCTGCTATACTACAGTGATGTTGGGTCACAAGGGTATATTATGTATTGTTTTTACCTATAAACCATAACTCCACACCACACACTGTGCTTCTTTTCTTTTTTTCCCCCTAGTTTTTTTCTGTAGCTCCCCTTAATGTTAGACTCCGTCATCTTGGCCCTTAAAACTGGCTTTAGGGGGCGCCTGGGTGGCTCAGTCAGTTAAACAGCTTTGATTTTGACTCAGGTCATGATGTCAGCTCAGGTCATGATCTCAGGGTTGTGAGATTGAGTCCCTTGTTGGACTCTGTGCTGGGCATGGAGCCTGCTTAAGATTCTCTCTCTCCCTCTGCCCCTCCCCACACTCCCTCTCTTAAAAAAGAAAAAAAAAAAAGCTAGCTTTAGGTTTGGGAACCAGAGAGTAGTAGTAATAGTTATACTGTCAGAATGATAATAATAATAGAAGTTACTATTTTTAAAGAAACATCTATGCATTATGTCCATTATTTCATTTTAACTCTCACAACAATCCCATGAGGTGACAATTATCATATGTGAGGAAACTGAGACTCAGAGAGATTAAGAAATTTGGTCCAAATCTCTTAGCTACTAGGTGGAGAAACAAAGATTTGAACCCAGATTTCTCTAACTTTATGGCTCATAATTTGATAAGGCTCTTAGAGGGTCTGCTGTGAAGTGTTAGTGGGTGTACTTTGTAACATCTATTTTTGGCTACTCTGAGACCCTTTTTGCTTACTTTATGATTCTTTGCTGTATTTTAGAAAAGCTAGATTAGATTATCATATCAATTTATGAATAAGTTATTTGGCCATGACTGTTACTATGTGATGAAAATAATTTCCAAGATACACTCTTGACAACAGCTATGTTCACTGTAGATGACCCATAAAAATTATGATTGGTAGTCCTGGCTGATAATACTCCAAATGTTTTTTTGAGTACCTCTCTGTCTAAAATGAAAGAGGTTAATTATATTCTTAATGCACTGTATGTGGGAAGAGCAAAGCTAAATTGTTCTTGAGCTTTTTATATTTCTTCTTGTTCTACTATTAAGGAGCAATTACCTTTAAATTCTTCTTATCTTTAGACAAGTATAAATTCTGGCCAAGTAAAGGAAGCCCATTTAAACTTCTAAACCATTTTATTAAAGCAAACTAACACACATAATAAGAGTGAGGAAGGAATGCATTATCCTTTCCTTCTATATTTAAAGCCAATTTAAATCATCTTTTGCATCTTGCAGATAGGTTCTGTGATTTCTCTAAAGGTATTCATTTAAAAAGATTCTATTACAACAATACATTTTATCATGCATTGCTATCATGAGTGTCCTATTGCTAGACTGTGAAGCTTTTGTTTAAGTTTGAGAAAGCCATTTCCTTGGAACCCAACACCTATTGTTCAATTCTCCTCTTGAGATCAGAACATAGTAGCATTTATACAATGACTGAGGTCACAGTGTTACAACTTTAAGGGAGGAGAATAAACATTAGGAACTGATGAGAGCCTTAATAAGTGGTAAGAAATAAACTGAAAATAAAAATAGTACCAAAATTATGCATCACAGGTGCTGAGATTAATTTAAATAATAGATACTACAAATATTTCTCCTCTAATTCTCTCTCTCCTTCTGCCCCCGTCCCTCTTTATTTTTTTTAAAGATTTTATTTATTTATTTGAGAGAATGAGAGAGAGAGAGAGCACATGAGAGGGGGGAGGGTCAGAGGGAGAAGCAGACTCCCTGCTGAGCAGGGAGCCTGATGCAGGACTCGATCCCGGGACTCCAGGATCATGACCTGAGCCGAAGGCAGTCGCTTAACCAACTGAGCCACCCAGGCGCCTTTCCCCCGCCCCTCTTTAAAATAAATAAATAAATCTTAAAAAAAAACAACCCACAAATAATTCTCCTCTACAGGTGAGGGCAACTAATATCAGCTTCTTTTTCACTGCAAAAAGAATAGTCAATTCGATTTTTGAGGTTAATGAGAAGCACATTGACATGCTTTTGGGATATCCTCTTATTCCAATCAAATTAGTACTGCCCATAGGGACAGGAAAAAAAAGCCTGTGCACTCATAGCATAGTAATATTTGCTTAAAACAAAATCTTCTTTTTAAAAAAAAATTTTATTTATTTATTTATTTGAGAGACAGCGAGCAGTGGTGGGGCAGAGAATCTCAAGCAGACTCCCCGCTGAGTGTGGAGCCTGATCCCAAGACCCCGAGATCATGACCTGAGCTGAAATCAAGAGTCAGATGCTTAACTGAGCCACCCAGGTGCTTCAAGACAAAATGTTCTTAATGAGAATGATCCAAATCCAATAGTTTGAATAATAAAAGGGCTTTGTTAGCAGTAGCAATATTGGGAAACTACAGAAATACAATGTCAAGAATCCTAAATTCTATCAAACTGTGGAGAAGATGTTAGGGTTAATCTTAATTTCATACTTAAATGCAAAATCATAGCAGTAAAACCTGATCTCTGTCCTAGACCTGATGAGAGGTACCCAGTAAATCTGGGAGATTAGGAAGGCTGGCTTGACACTTAAAAAAGGTTTCTGGAATTTACTGATGGTTCCCATAGCTCACTCATAACAACTGGTTAGTATCACCTCTCTCTCTCTTCAGATTCACATGAGCACCCATCAGAGTATAGTTCTGAACTAAAGCATTATTTACTGTTGTCCCTGATAGCATGGAGGTGTGTTAGAATTAGAATGCTCACCTACACAGTGAATCCTTTAAATAATGAATGAAAGGTTTATAGAGTAGTAGGGGTCTGAACAGGCAAACTATTGCTTAAAGACATGGCCACACATATTTCAACACCAATGCGTGGCATTCTTTGAGGATTTACAACTGATTACAGAACCTCCATCAGCCCTTTAGGAGATGTGCCAGATCTTGGAATGTAGTTATTTTTCTTTTTCCTGGGAGGTAGTAAGAAACAATATGAAACATTACTTTTGAACTATTTTTGCAAAGGAAAAAAAAAAAAAAAGAATCTGAATGTAATCAAACTTTTAGGTCTAACTTCCAGTCTGTAGAATATACTGGAAAGAGAGAGGAACAAGTTAACCACCACTGCAAGGAAACGATTACTCAAATCCATTCATTAGGACAAATGATGCAGTTTCTTCAAGTCAATGGCATGACAAAAAAAGGAGGTAAATGTTATTATTTAACGGAGATTTAACAACAAATACAGTGAGTGGACATGACTTGAATTCTAATTCAAATAAAACATGTAAGAAGGCATTCTTTTTCTTGACATTTGGGAGAATTTTGAATATGATCAGGGTATCAGATGATATTAAGGTATTCTTATTTATTTTGTTAGGTGAAAAATACCATTGTGATTACACAAGAGAATGCTGCTGTTACTGTTATTATTTCTTGAGATGTATACCAAAATGACATTGTAGAATTTGTTTTAAAACAGTCCAAAACAAACAAACAAAACAAAATAAAAACACTAAACAATCTAGCCCCCTGTCCCCTCAAAAAGGTGAGGGAGGGGACTGATAAAACAGTTATGGAAAGATGTTAATAGTTCCTGAAGCTGGGTGATGGGTACATGGAGGTTTCATTGTACTCCCTACTTTTATGCATTTTGAGAATTTTCTTTTCTTTTTATTTTAAGATATTATTTATTTGAGAGAGAGTGAGAGAGAGAAAGCACTAGAGGAGGAAGGGTCAGAGGGAAAAGCAGACTCCCCACTGAGCAGCGAGCCCGATGTGGGACTCGATTCTGGGACTTGGGATCATGACCTGAGCTGAAGGGAGACGCTTAACTGACTGAGCCACCCAGATGCCCATTTTGAGAATTTTCATACTAAAATGTTTTTAAAACGAGAGAAAGAAGCAGTATGAAGAGAAAGAGAAAAAGAGAAAGAAGGAACTAGACATGGAAACTAAAGAGAGAAAAGGTTTGGAAAGTTGTTTTGCTTCATTTGTAACAAATCCAGCTATTCATAAGGAAGATGAATTCCATTTCAGATAGGAGCTACCCTTGTGCAAGGAATTCTAATAGTATAATATTTCTTTTATTAGAGTAAATAATCCATAATAGAAAATGTAAAAAAGAAAGCATTTAAAACTTTGTTAGTGAAAGCAAGCCAAACCAACCCCATATATGAGATAATAAGATTATTTTCATACCCGGGTTTCATAAAAACCCTGCCAAAATGGATCTGAGCATGAAGATCAATGTCCAGCACCTGCTTGAGATAGTCCTGCAAATATGAAAAACAATCACTTTATTTTCAAACATTCTAATATCAGACTTTCAAAACTTTACATGAAAATAAAACAAATTTATAAGATTGAAATGAAAAGAAACATCTTACTTCAGTGAAGTTGATTTACTTAAGGCAAATTCCTTCATTTCTTCATTCCTATCATTCACTTATTCTTTAATAAATATTTATTGAGTACCTGGTATATGCTGAGTACTAATCTAGGTATAGGGGGATATAGGCTTGAACAAAAGAGACAATGGCCCCGCTTTCATAAAAAATACATTCTAGTAGAAATAGATAATAAACCAAATAATCACATTACTTGATGGGTTATTGTTTCTCTTTTAATACAGAATTTTATGTTTGAGAAAGGATGTTAACAAATAAAAAGCTTAAGAAGTTGTGCTAGTTCAGGGAAGCCCCATGTATGTGTACTACATTATTCTCCTTAATGGACTTAAAGTAATGTACACATTCCTTGAGGAAAGACTTGGGCATTGCCCACGGACTGCCAAATCTAAATAAGTCAACTAAAATAAAAAAATAGGGAGGGAGTTCTAAAATAGAAAGTCAAGGGAGTTTAATTGTCCCAAATTTTTATTCTGCCAACAAAAACAACCAACCTAAAGTTACAACTAATCCACAGTGGTTTCACAAAACCTAACCTTTGGAAATGAAAGACAACATTGCCATGCAGTTGGTTTTATAGACATAGAGAAAAAAATTGCAGTCCTAAAAATTTCTCAACTCCTAGGTCTATTGCTGAGTTTCCTGTTCATTAATCTAAGAAACCTACTAAAATTGTAAATATTTCACAAGCTTAGGATATTTTATTTTAAAAATCTGTTCCCTTCTATTTCCACAGCCTCAGCCAACATTATCTCACTTGGATTATTGAAATAGGTCTCTCTGCCAATAGTCCTGCCCCCCTCCAATTCATTCCCCCCCCCAGTAGTAAGAGAGATCTCTTGAAAACAAGTCTGATCAAGTCATCATATAATACATCAAAACTTCCTCTTTTCCAGGAAAAAAAGTCTCATCTTCTTAATATCGTATCTATGATTCTCATGTTTTCTAGTCCCCTTTTAACAATCATTACTCTCATCAGGCAATCCTCTTCCCATCCAACCCCATTGCTCTTTCTCAATCTCAATCTCTCTCTCTTTCTTCCTCCTCACCCTCTTTTCTCTCTCTCTCTCTCTCTCTCTCTCTCCATTCCAGCAAGACTATATCACTTTAAGTTTCTAAGACTTTCTTGCCCTCAGTCTCTGAAAATGTTTTTCCTTCTGTCTGGAATATTCTTTTTTTCTACCTTCCTCTCTCCACCCCTTATCTCAGTCTCAGTCATTTTCTCAGCCTCCCTTAATTCCCAAGGCTGGATGATAAATTGCTTATCTTTATTTTGAGGTTATATTATCAGATGCAAATTCAGAGTTGTTATGTTTTTCTGATGAACCAATCCATTTAAATATATGAAATTTCCCTCCTAATATCTTATAATCCTTTTAACCTCTCTGATATCAATACAGCCACACCAGCTATCTTGCATTGTAACTTTTTTTTTTTACTCTTTTACTTTCAATTTGCCGTGTCTTTCTATTTAAGGTGGATTTTTTATTACCATCAAACAATTTATTGTCTTTTTACAATCCAGATGACAATTTTTAATTGGAGGACTTAGTCCATTCACATTTAATATAATTTCTGCTATATTTGGGTTTAAAACTACCACCTACTATTTATTTTCTATTTGTCACTTCTGTTTTATTTCATTTTTTCTTCTTTTGTGCCTTCTTTTGAATTCATCAATATTTTTTGTTATTTTAATTTCTTTCTCTTCTATTAGCTTGTTAGTTACACGTTCTTTTACTATTATTTTAGTGGTTATTTCAGAGATTACAATATGCATTCTTGACTTACAATAGTCCACCATAATTTGATATTTTTATTACTTCCCAGACAATGCATGAAACTTAAAACATGTTAACTCCATTTATTCCTCTCTGCTTTTTGTGCTATAATGTATCATATATTCTATATACATTTTAGGTATGTGTGTGTATATGTGTGTATATATATATTTAACTGTTATATATATTTCTATATATACTATACAGACAATATACACCCTATATTTATAATTTAATATACAACATTTATATATAAACATATTTTAACCTCATAAGACATTATTATTTTATACAATCAACACTCATTACATTTAACCACATATTAACACTTTCTTTTGCTCTTTAATCCTTTCTGCATTTCCGTAGCTCCACAATCTTTCTTTCTTTTTTTTATTTAAATAATTTTAATTCAAAAGTTAAAAATATATTGTGGTAAAAACGCAGATAGAAAAGTATAAAATAAAGTTTTAAACTCATCCTTCCCATCACTGCTACACTTGTCTGTGCATTTACAAACATATTTTTTGAATGCACATGACAGAATACTTTACATACAGATTTGCAACTTGCTTTTCTATCCAAAGGAATATCTAGGACATCTCATGAGCTACCTCCTCTAATTTTAAGTGGCTACATTATATTCAAAATACAGTAACTTAACCCATTGGTAGGCTCTAATTACTTATGTTCTGTCTCTCTTTTTTTTTTGTTTAAACAGTCAATATCTTTTTATTTCCTACAATCTTCCTGATAAAAAATTCCCTGTGCTCAGTTTTTATTGGGCTGAAAATGTCTTTATCTTCATTTTTGAAGGAATTTTCTGCTGTATATACAGTTCTACACCAGCCGTTACTTTCTTTTAGCACTTTACAAATGCTATGCCATTGTTTTCTGTGTTCCATCGTATCTGTTTGGATCATTTGTTAGTTTAATTGTTGGTCCTTTGAAGGTAATGAATCCTTCTGGCAAGACTTACTCTTTGTCCTTGGTTTTCAGTAGTTTTGCTATGATTACCCAGGTATGTGTGTGTTTGTTTTTGTATTTATCCTGCTTGACATTAGCAGACTTCCTTGAATTTCTGGCTTGATGTCTTTCATTGGTTTTGGAAAACTCTGCCAATATTTCTTCAATATTGCTTCTGCTCACTCTCCTTTCCTTCTGGACTCCAACTACATGTACGTTAGACCTTTTACCACACCCCATATGTCTTTTATGCTCTTTTCCATATTTTCCATCCCTTTTCTAGAATTTTGAATATAATGAATAGACTCTAGCTTTCCAGTGAAATTCTTCATTTTGTCATTTCTTTTTTCTTAAAAATATTAATTACAGTTTTTAAAATTTCACATGGGACAAAATAAACATCAGTAACATTTTTAGTGCTGTCCTATCTTGTTTTTCTTTCTTTTTAGTGATTTTGTCCTATCTCTAGCATGTCTGGTGATTTTAAAAACTGAAGCCCAAACATTAAATGTGAAAAGAAGTAAAGAGGTTCTAGATGATGATATATTTTTCCAGAAAGGATTTAATTTCCATTGGCAGTTAGTTAAAGTAAACTAAAGATTGCCTGACCTAATCAGAGACTGAGATAATCTGATGCTCAATTTCAGTCTTTGTGAAGGCTGGTATATTTCCAGTTTGTCCTTATACCTAGCGCTTCCAGGGTTTAAACTGAGAGCCTGAGATATTTGCCAGTCAGCCCCTGCCCCCTCCACTACAGGCCCTGAACTCCTAAGACTGCCAAAAATTCTGTTTATTTTCTTAGGCTCTTAGCTACTCTGCGATGGTTGGCTTTTGGTCTCTTGTACCATTACACCTCCCCCTATTCTCCTGGCTTAGGAATTAGTAAATGCTACTTCTCTGTGGTTCACTTTTCTGAGATGTTGGTGCCTTGAATACTGGCTGTCTTGGTTGTTCTCTTCAGACACCTGCTTTTTCTTTTTTCTTCTTTAAAATATGAAAAAAAATTATACAGCTTTTATAGTTGTTCTTGGTGGGAGGGTTGGTCCAAATAAGCCACTGTATCACAGTAGAAGCAGAACTCTGAAGAGTTCTATGTGCCCTTATAATACTATGTCCTTCTGATATCACACACCTAGGTTCTATTGCAATTGTCTGATAACTGGTATGCATCCTTTATTGGACTACACAGTTTGTAAGAACAGGAACCTTGTATACATATGTGAAATCCTTAGTGAATAGCACATGCCATTCATTTATTCATTCATTTCTTAGTTCAATACTTACGAGTCTATCATATATCACAAATTCTATATGTGCTAGAGATTTAATGGTGAACAAGAATAGACATGGTCCCTGACACAAAAATGTTCTGTTGTATTTTACCAACGAAGACAGACTAAAATAAGTAAACCAAGAAATAAAATAATTATAAAGTGTGGTACATGATATGAAGGAAATAAGCAGGTGCTGGGATAGAGAATAATGGGCAGGGTGGAGAATAAGGAAAGGCCATTTTAAAAGAGGTGGTGAGGATGAGAAGAATTCAGCCATACGAAGCGTGAAGAGATGAGAATTCCAGGCAGAGGGACGTACATACCAAAGCTTCTAAAGCAGTAAAGCAGTACATACCAAAGCTTCTAAAGCAGTAAGAATGTGTCTAGAACTGAAAAGACAATGAAAGGTAGTGAATGAGTGGCAAGAGGCATAAGATGAGGTTGGAGAGGGCGCCTGGGTGGCTCAGTTGGTTAAGCGACTGCCTTCGGCTCAGGTCATGATTCTGGAGTCCCTGGATCGAGTTCCGCATCGGGCTTCCTGCTCGGCAGGGAGTCTGCTTCGTCCTCTGACCCTATCCCCTCTCAGGTGTTCTCTCTCTCTCAAATAAATAAATAAAATCTTTAAAAAAAAGATGAGGTTGGAGAGACAGGCGGAGGCCATACTTGCAGGGCCTTAAAGGTTATGACACAGAGTTTGGAAAGCAGATATGCTCATTACATATTTGCTAAATGAATGGAAGTATTTTATTTTTCTTGGGAAAAGAAAAAAAAAACCCCTCTCACTCTTTTTGAACATGAATATTCATGTTTCTTGTGACAGAGAGAAAGCCTGTACCAGACATAGCCA